AAATATTAAAAAATAAATGAAACAAATAAATATGAAAAATAAAAAAATTTAATTTTTTGAAAAATAAATCCTAAAACACTAAATCAAACAAACTGAAATTACTCGTTTAGATAAGTGAAATTATTGAAGAGTAAGAGGTTGTTGAAATTGAAATGGTTCCCAAATGCCGTGTAGAATTCACTTTGACATTCTAGTTTAGTTTGGGAAGTTAGATTGGATTTTAACTTTTTATTATTTTAGTTTCGTAAAAAATTTGTTTGGATAATTTTTTTTTACTTTTAAGAGAAATAATAAAATAATTATGAATTTAAATGTAATATTTTATTTATTAAATTTTAATCTATTTTATTTTTTAATAATTAATTAGTCAAAAAATAACCCAACTTTCATCAAAATGACACCTCTTTTTTCATCTTCTCGTTTCAGAATGGGGTCTTTTTCTATCCCACACTCGGATCAATTTTTCCTCTTCTCTCTCTCTTTTCGTTTCTTCTTTTATCTTCCTTTTTATTTTTATTTTTATTATAATTTTTTAAAAGGAGAAATTTTATTAGGCAAACCTATCATGGGTTCAGTCAGCTTTCTCCTTGATTGAATTGATTTTAAACTTAAATTAGGCCATCGTGTGAGGGATCGCATGGCCTGGAGGCTCACCCGTTAAGCCGTCCAGTTGGATTGTGTTATTTTTAAAAGGAAAATATTACATTGTGGATATTTTAAAAGTAATTACAAATTAGTAATTTTTTTTATAAATATTAATAATTAAATTTGTAAATATTTTATGAATTTGTATTTTTTGGGGATTTTAGTTTAAGATTTTCTATTAAAATTTTACAAGATAAAAGAAAAAAATATTATAGTAGTAGCTAAGGTTTCTAGAAAGAATAATTCTCATTACACCACAATCTAACTTCTTACACCCTCAAATTTTATTTTTTTATCTTAATATTTATAATTTATAACAATTCTTTTATTACCCTAATCTCTAACCTTACTCTTTCTCTTCTCTTTACACCCAAAACCTTAAAACCCAAACCCCCTAACCCTAGTAATTTCTTCCTCTGTTCATCTCACAGACAATCCTCTTCGACTTCGCATCCGAATCCAATGACCTGGTAATTTCTTTCACTCTCTCTCTCTCTCTCTTTATATATATATATATATATATATAAATATTTGTATATCGTTTTGATTCTGATGATGAGGATTTTGTGATCTCTATATACAACTCTGTTTCAGTCTCTTTTGATTGAAGCGTGTGGAAGGACTGTGAATCCAGTGAACAGAGCCGTCGTATTATTGTGGACGGAGATGGTGCTCCGAAGCAAAGCATTACGGCTGATTTTCTACAAATAAGAGAGAATTAAAGAGAGAGAGAGAGAGAGAGAAGACTTGCAAATCATTTTCGTAACCCATTGGTGATTGTTGCTAGTTTGCAATAGATGCAGTAAGAAAGAGAAGCTATAGATGTATATATATGTAGTGAGAAACAGAATGAGAATGAGGCAAGTTGGTGGAGTAGTGGCGGAGTGGCAACGTCGATAGTGGGCTGGTGGATGTGATAGGGACAACTAGGGTTAGGGGTTTTTTGAGGTTTTGAGTGTAAAGAGAAAGAAGAGAAGAAATGTTAGAGATGACGGTAATAAATGAATTGTATAAATTAAAAAATAAAAAATAAAATTTGAGGGTGTAAGGAGTTAGATTGGTGGTGTAAGTAGAATCACTCTTCTAGAAAATGCGAGGAGCAATTTTCAGACGAAAACACCCTTATTCAATTTTAGCGCTAAACGATACACATTGTTTCAATATTCAATACCTTTCACTTTTGAAAAATTTTAAAACTTAAAAATTCTATAACTTTTGATTATATATCCATTTTTAATAAAATTTATATTTTTAAAATGTTCTCATTGAGATCTATCAAATAAAATTAATGATGAATATAAAATTCTAAAAAAAAATTTGGCAAAATTTTACTGAGTTAACTATCTGCCATCAATGAAACTTTTTTGGCTTTTAATTAGAGAAATTTCACTTAAGGATGGAGACAAAGGAAGAAAGAGACGTTGAGGGGTTGTAAGGAGAGCAAAGAAAGAAATAAAGATATGAGGCACTCAAGCATAAAATAAAACCAAACCCCTTGGCCCTAGGTAAATTTTTTTGAAATTTCATAAATTTCTTTGAGTGAAAATTGAGAAATTTCTCTCAAAAATTGAAAATTCAAAAAAATTTCTAAGCAATTCTAAAAATTCTCTCACAAAATTGAAAATTCAAATTTTTCTCTGAGCAATTCTAAAATTTCTCTAGTGCTATATTTGGTTAGAAGATTTGGGAAGGAAATTGGAAAGGAAAAAAGAAAATATAGTTGAAATGTAAATAAAATATATAAAATGTACCTACATTTCACCTAATATCATATATTTTTTCCCTTTCCAATTCCAAATCTCTTCCCAAATCCCCCAACCAAACACAACATAAGTAAACAAACTACGTCAATCTCTCTTTGTTCACAGCCTCTTTGAAGAGAATATCTTTGATAGTGTAGTAGAAATTCAAAGATACCAATCGGGGAAAATCTTTAATAAAGGAAGGATCATTAGATTGAGATTTTCCTTTGACGAGATTAAACGGATTGATGTAATATTTTGACCCATTTGAAGACAGATGTGTTAGAGATTTTGGGCGTTTGAGATCACTGAATTGAGAACGTTTCGAAACATAGATCCATTGGCTTTATAATTCTTGGAAGATCGATTGGTCCAAGTGACGTAGAAAAGGTAAGTGGCGTTATTAAGGGTTAAGAGCTTGGTATGGGTGTCGTCGGAGTTGGAGATATCGCACTAGATGTATTCGATTGGAGTGGTCGGTGTTCCATGGCGGACAAGGGCAGTGAGAGACGCCGTAGACTTTCCAAGGGCCACTGGGGGTGTTGGAGAGAGGAAGAATCTTGGCGAAGCTGCTACCGATGATGCCTGTGACGTCGGTCATTAGGGTTATGCACTAGTACTTCAGAGGTGCATCATTGTCTTCGAATTTCTTCAAGGGAGAAAAAACAAAAACAAAAACAAAAAAAGAGAAAGTATATCTAAAAGAGAAGAAGTGAGAGACCAAATACTTATCATTAAAAGGTAAAGTTGGTATTTTTTTTAGAAGAGAGTTGGCCTAAAATAGGAGTAATTCTATTTCCACACACTAATTCTTCACAATTCACACATTTAATGAAAATTTTCATTAATACAATTTTATCCTAGAATAAAAATACCATAATACCCTCTTCTTCTTCTATCTGAACCCTAATTCTAAAACACTACAATCATCCTCTATCGCCAGTGCCACCACTCTTATCTGCCATCCTCTCCCATCACTTCTTTCCCTCTCCTGTGATCATTTTCCGTCATTAACCATACACTCACAAATCTACCACCGCAAATCACTAAAGGTTGACCGGCGGCAACAACAATAAAGGAGAAGTAGAAGAATGGAAAAAAATAAATAAATAAATAAAAATTAAGCTATGTTTAGTTCAATTTTAGAATATGTTTTAAAAAATAAATAAATAAAACTTCTTATTTTAATATGATTTTATCCTTTTAGGGGCAAAAAAAATTAAAAATATTTTTTGATATTTATTTTTATCAAATTAATTATTTTTTTCCTCAGAAAAATTTCAAAAAAAAAATGATTCAAAAATCGAAACCAAACATAGCCTTAAGGTTTTAAAAATGAAAATGAAGATAATATTGGAATATCAAGATATGTACTGAGAATTTATATTTTTATAATATTTGTATTGAGATATGTTCATTAAGTGTGTGTACCGAGAGTAATTGGAAATAAATTTCCCTTAAAATAGCTCACTAAAAGACAAAATATGTTAAAATAGTGAATAATATCACATCCAATCCATAATCATTTTCTTTTTTCTCTCATAACTATCAAATCAACTATTAAAAAAAAATCAACTATCTTTCCAAACATAATCATTTAAGCTAAAATAATTAAAAAATCAAATAGCAAACAAAAATAGCATACTTCCCAAACAAGACTCCAACACAATTAAAACCGTGAGGTACCTTAACTCAAAAAAAAAAAATCCCTGGACCTTTACTACTTTTATTACTAAGGTTATGGACCGTTACTACTTTTGTTACTAAGGCTATATTTGGCATGAAGGTTTAGATTTGGGTTGGGTTTGGGCTATTTTAGTTATAACAAGACAACATAGACTTTTTAGCCTAATAAAATAAAATGTTACATCCAAACCATAATCATTTCATTTTTTTTTTCACAAAAATCATAAAAATCAAAAAGCTTATTCTGAACAAGGCTTTTAACATCAGGTTAAAAAATTCAAAAAGTCAAAAAATTGACCCACATTCTAAATGAAGGCTATTTAAAATATTTGAGTGTCATCTCCCTAATTTTGATTCTGCCTTCCACTAAGGTATTATTCCCCTTTTTTTAAATTTAAAATAAATAAAATTAGATTGATTTTAAACCCGTTTAATCTTTAAATTGTGTAGAATAATGAGTTCGAGATCAGTTGGCCGCATTCATTATAAAACATTATTAATTTAAATTTTGATAAAGAATATATATATATATATATATATATATTTTGGTTTGTTTTAAAATAACTTAAGTTTACCCTATCTAAAGAAATAAAAAAATAAACCCTTTAAGTTTAAACATTTTAAAGGAAAATTGTTTGGAGTGTGCAACATATGTACCTTTGGTTTAGTCTTTGATTTGATTTATTATAGTGTTACCTTATGTGATGTTTGGTTATAATTTTTTTTTTTTTTTTTTATAATTCAACTATATTTTGATTCAAGCAAGCAAACCTAAATTGATATAAAAAGAAAATTTTAGTGAAACCAAAATTATCAAAACTGAAACATGCTTGATGTTGAAAACAAAAGAAATTATTCAAAAAGAAAGTTCTCAAATGAGTAGTTTTAAAATTCAAATACATCCTAATTTGAAAATCCAAATACATATCAGTAGAAAATATCGAACTTAAGACGAAGTGTAATATATGAATGATCAAATTCTTCGTCTCTTCTCTGAACTGAAACCAAGCTCTCATGGTAAACAATAGCCTGAGAAGCCACAGTTCGAAGATCCTTCATCTCAAGGGTAATAGGGTCTACCAAGTACAAATGCCCGTCCTCAACTTGGATGAGGAACTCACCTTTCTTCCAAAAGCCAAGCGGAATTGCTCCTTCAAAGGGTCCAGCTATTAATTCTCTTGTCCAATGTTCTTCTTTCAATACCCAAATGTTGAAAACGTTTGGTGCCACGTAATGTGCTGGATAAGATTGTATCCAAGCAAGAGAGCCATTGTAGACTCCAAAATAATGTCCGACAAGATTAGTTCCTGGGTGAGGACAACCTAGCTCTGGTATCCCTTTGAACAGCACCGGTTCATCCTGCTCCAATATGTTTTGAAACACCTCGTAGCCCATATGAAATGAGAGTTTCGTAGCATCATCATTTTTGTTACATGCACTCCAGTAGTAAACTCCATCCATGTAAGTGTAGAACTCACAAATGGAAGAAACACTACATTCTGGAAAAAAACCCTTGAAATCTCTCCAAGAATCATCACGCAATGAATATATAGCAATGTGTTTAGGGAAACTTGATGGATGAATATCATTATCAAGGCCAGAACCCCAGGTGTACATCCTAATTGAAACCACTTTATAATCACCAGTGAAAGGATCCATCCCGAACCCAAAAGCATTTCTCTCGAGTTCCATTCTTGGAGGAATGGAGTTGGGGAATGTTTGTGTCGTGTTAATATAATATTGTTAATTTGTTAATAATATAGCTGTCTAGCTTTCTTGATTGATAATTGTATAGCTGGCTTTCTTTCTGCTTTCGCCCATAACGTGCACTTTTGCATTCAACTTTAGACCAAGATATTCAAATACTGGAACCGTGAGGGATTTGTCACGACACACAGCAAAGGTAGATTTTCTAGGAAAGTTATTTGCATCTTTGGGTTCAATGCTATGAACGAAGAGGCAACCATTTTCCTTTTTGTTACTGTTAGTGAGATGCTTGGCTATGAAACTGGGATTTGTAATGAGAGAGGACCAAGATTTGGAGACGCACTTAAATCGCAACAAAGATTTGACTGGTAATTTTACAAGAATGTCAACCATCACATCTTCATGTATGTAATGACTCACCATTTCTTTTGTTTTTTCTTTTTTCAGCAAAGATGTTTGGCCAAAGTTGGATCCCTCAATCAAAGCCAACGAAATTGCGCATCCATTTCTTCAAAACATAAATGAAAGTGCTTGGTTACAAGAATAATCTAGAATGAATGCAAAAATGATATATATATATATATATTTTTTTTTTTCCTTCTTAATTTTACAATATGCTAGCCATTACAAGTTCACAACCAATAGCAATAAAAATAATAGAAAACATGGATCAAGAAAAGCCCAATCAATCTAATGTTAATAAAGATAAGCACACACCACCTTTACACCCATTTTAGACACTCATATCGTTGGTAGAGGTGATTAAAACGAGGAGAAATTACTTCTTCTCAGTGTATGAGTAAAAAAGTATCGTCAAGTGAATGATATTCTTTATAAATATTAATATGCAAAATCATAATATTTTTCTTGATTTTGTAATTAAGGTTTGAAGACAACACTAACAGATATTTTTCCCTTAAAACAAGGTGCTAAATTATGTAAGCATTAAATTTTAAAGATCTTTTTTAATCATAAATGGAATATGAATACATATAAATAATTATTTCCCCTTTTATTTTCCTTCTTAAATTCAAAATTTAAAATTTTAATCAGTGTGTTTGATTTTAATTTTTTGAATTCAATTTTCTGAAAATTGAGTTTTTTTGTTTTTTGTATTTTTTTCTTTTTAGTAAGCAATTTTTTTTTTTTTATATATTTTTGAATATATTATGAAAGAGTCAAGATAAGGTCATGACAGATTAAATCAGTACTTTCTCAAAGTTTAGTTTTCAATTTCATACATTGTGCATTTGATCGTGAAGAACTATATAATCAGAAATGATTCGGTTGACATAGTGACTGCTGCCGTTGCTATTGCTATGTGCACAGTGAAATTTATATTGATGCAATTATCTATGTTACTCAGGGGTTGTTTGGGGTCCTAAACAAGTGCACTTTTTGTCTTTTTGGACTAAAAAATTGAGGAAAAAATATGGATGTTTGGATTAACTTTTTGACTTTTTATGAAAAAATGTGTATTAAAAAATTGTATAAATTAGTCTGTAGGGGAAAATTAGGATTAGGGAAAAATTAGGATTGAGAGTTGTGTAGCTGTAATTTTTAACTTTTGGTGAATAGTAATAACTTTTTAACTTTTTGAGTAACTTTTTGACTTTTTGGCAACTTGCCAAACTTGGCCTTAGTATTCCTAACCTTCACCTTTAATTGGACGAAGTAGTTACTCTCAGACTTGAACCTGTGTACTACACCTGACAGCCCAAACCTTTTGCCATTGCACCAAGCAATGTCCTCACCAAGCAATAGGTGATATCTTGCAAATCAAGTGATTAAAACCCAAGTTTGACTATCTACAGCAACCAACCAGTTACTGGTATAGCCTCAATTTAAATTGTGTTACAATTCAAAAGGTACCAAGTTCTTGTGTGGTATATCAAATATGGATACCTGGACTTGGGTACGAGTGTTGTGTACAGGTTTGTGTTAAAGTGTGTTGTCATATCATCTAATTGTCATGTCCAAGAGGATACCAAAATATGGCTTGATTTCATATTTCTTAAGTACTTTATTTATTTAGAGTAAAATTGTGTTTATAAACTAATGTAGAGTATTTTAGACATAAAATGAGAGTTTTATGTTCACCCAGAAAAAGAAAAAAAAAATGAGAGTTTTATGCAAAGTTATGAGGTACACTCAATACATAATGTGTGCATGTCCAACTAGACATAATTATGATTGCCATTTCTTTTTCTTCTTTTTCTTCTTAGTTTAACCTTCCTTCTTAGAGGTTTATTATTTCTACGATTATTCTCTCCATATGGTGATTTTTATTTCTGCAAGTGTACCTCTTAGACTGTTGAAATGAAACATTTGACCCGTGGATGGTGTGTTTCTTTCTTTATTTAGCCTACTTGAATCCCGTAGATCTGTTGATTAGATTTGTATCGGTTATCCAACTGGGATAAATTGGCTTGAGTTGTTGACACGATATGAATTTTCATTTTAGTGAGTCTCAACAGTTTTTTTTCTCCCAATCTATCTGTCATTTCCATTATTGTCAAATAGCGAACCGAACCGTGAATTGTTATGCTACAATAGTGAATCATGAATCATAAGAGCACTTTGTTTAATATAATGAACCATAATTTATGAAAAAATAATATATTCTTATACATGTATATATACATATAAAAATACACACAATGTTTAAAATAAAATGAATATCAATATAACCAAATTATATATACATGTCTATATAATTATGTTCATTAATATAATTAATTGATCTCTTTATTTCTTGATAGAGGAGTGAAACTTCGTTTTGGTTGAAACTCAAAACGTATGAATCTAATCATGAATCACACAATTCTTACAGCCATGATCCTTTCTGTTTAGAAGCCTTACATATTTGATATTACTTAAATTGATTTTTGTTGTTCCATTTACTTCTAAGTATTGAGGTGGTGGATTTGGTTAGAAGAGCAGTGCCCCTTGCCCTGACACCTGAAGATGACCCCAGGAGGGATGAGCTAAAGAAACTCCAGGAGAAGGAGGAAATCGACATGCTGGCACATAAGCAGGTCCAGCGCATCCTCTGGTCAGGGCTAGAGTTGGCTATCATGCAGGTCGGGCTCTTCTTTCGTCTTACATTCTGGGAATTCTCATGGGATGTTATGGAGCCAATTGCATTTTCCATCACCACCACCACTGGCTTAGTCATAGGTTTTGCCTACTTCCTGTTTACTTTGAGAGACCCAACTTACCAATGATGAAGATGAGCACCAAGTCTAGACTGCTTAATTGTCAATTGCATTCAAACCATAACTTATTGATTCTAAATATATGTATATATTTTCTGTGGGGTCCTATCAGCTTGATCTTCAAGCACAGGCAAGGGCTCATAGGATTCTTAAAACCCATGAAATAGTGTGAACTTCAATATTACATAGTCGTACAAGTAATACAGCATACAGTGAATCAGTTGTCAAGCATAGCAGTTAAATTTAATAATACTAACTAAGCAACTAATATCTCCATCAAAATTCAGAACAAAGCAAAATTCAACTAGCAATCCCTTGGTCATCAGCCAAACACCTAGAAATGCACAGGAGAAGCCCTAGAACCACTAAAGAATATTTTGGCAGTAAACAAACAATTACAAAAAAAAACTACGATTGGCAATCCATAACATGTTACATAACCAAATCAATAGAAATTTTCATTGAAGAGCTATAAACACAACACAATTCAAAATACCTCATAAGCTCTTGTCTCTCTATGAATCCCTGCTGCTTGAGATCATAAAGTTGAAATGAAATTGCAAGGGAGAAAAATTTAGGTTAATTGAATAGAAATCAAATCAAAATCAAAACCCTAGAAATCAAAATCAAAACTCTAGAAATCAAATCAAAATTAAAACCCTAGAAATCAAAATCAAAACTCTAGAAATCAAATCAAAATCAAAGAGAGATGAGAGAGGAGAAACTGAATTAATCGATCAAAGAGAGATGAGAGAGGAGAAACTGAATTAATCGAATAAGGGATGAAATCCAAGGCTCTCACCGAATAAATCCAAGGCTCGGAATTAGACTCAAATGCCAAGCTCGGAATCAATCGATTGGCAGTGGCTGGTGGTTGTCGCTGGTGGTGCTCGTATGTTTGTGTGAGATGTCGATGGAGAGAAAGGAGAGAGACGGAGAAGAAAAAGAGAGAGAGAGACGTATATACAAAAAGAGAATAGGGGCTGTTTGGGATGACTTTTTTTTTTTAAAGTGGATTATTATATTTAGTGGGTTACTATTTGGTGATAAATGTTATTTGATTTGGTGTTAAATTTAATTTTTCTAGTTAAAGTTTTCACGACATGCAAATGTATGTCATATAAAATTATGATGTATTACGGTGTGAAATGCATGTCGTTTTAAGTATAAATATTGCACAACGATTCTTGCAAGCCATAAAAGTATATTTTTTTTACGGCATATTTTTGCATGCCGTAAATATATGAATCAACGACTTACATGGCATGTATGCCATTATTGATAAAGTATTAATGGCTTGCAAAAAAAATGTTGTAGAATACACTAACTACGACAAACATTTGATGTATGCCGTAAACATAAAGCTGTAAATAGTTAATTTTGATCTACTAGAAATTTATAAATATTTAAGAACATCTAGAATTTTTTTTATTATTTATAATTAAAATATAATTTCTCTAGACAATGAGATGGTTTGGGACAAAAACAAGTATGGATCTAGAATGAAAGGGAGTGTGGGGTAAATATATATATATATATATATATTTTACTTTTTAAATTCAAATAATTTACATATACTTTAGAAGGAAAATTAGTTTTTAATTTTCTAAAATATCTCTAAATTCAAAAACATATAAAATTTAATATTTTATGACATGGAATGTATGTTGTCTTAAGTGCAAATATTTTACAAAATATTTTAGTACGCCATGAAAATGTACATTTTTTACGGTATACTTTTGCATGCCATAAAAAAATCAGATTGTATTTATTTTATTTTTTTTGTACAAGTTTTCACGACATTCATTAACATATCACATAAAGTTATAATATTTTATAACACAAAATGTATGTCGTCTTAAGTACAAATATTTTACAACATATTTTTATAAGTCGTAAAAACATACATTTTTTACGACATACTTTTGCATGCCATAAATATATGAATTAACGACTTACATGACATGTATTGTAACGCCCCCAAAATTTCTCCAACATAATCTAGGTACATTAACTAAGATTCATTATAGAATAATAGCAATTCCCAAATCATCATAACATTGATCACTAAAGTTTGTACAAAATAGTCCCACATGTGAATTATACATTCAATGGTATGAAATACATGAATCTATAGCATATAGAACGTCAAATCCAAGAATAAATAAAATGCTCTCAAGGGGCTTATAAGTTCCAAAGCTTAAGTCCGGTTACACAAAAGATGGTTTCTTGAACCCATACATATATAGTCCTTGGCTTACAAAAAAAAATATGGTCACAACAAAATGGAGCCTCGTGCTCTCAATACATACATCCACGCCCTAGTTTGGCAGATTCGCCGCATCTTTTCATGCGCCAAAATCCGATAGCGGTGAGTATAAAGCCCAGTAGAGAAATCTTTAACAAAGTATATACATTTTACACAAATCTCATAAAAAAGAATGCATATGCCATGCTATGCTTTTGACATGAAAATCACGTTATTATCTTTTGAAAATTTTTTATTCTCAATGATATCTTGAAATCTCAACAATGCATAAACTATCAATTTAATTCAAGGGAGTGGTAAGTACGACTCAGGTAATCCCTAGGTTGGTATCTACAAGTAGGTATAACTAGTACTACCAATACCCTACTTTACCGTTTGCTAACCGGAATGGAAGTGGTACCTCCTCCACGCATGTTTTTGGTCTTTTACTCCGGACACTCAGGCCAACTTAATCAATTCCATCTACACCTCCTATTCAGGCTTACCAACGTATTTATCCCAAAACATTTCGATAGTTTCATTTCACTACATTTCTTTCCCAATGCAAATGTTTTTCAAATCTCAACTCAAAATTTGTAACTATGCAATAATAGAAATGCCAATGCAATATATATATCAAGGCAAAATAATAATCCTCCATTGACAATATTTCCCACACAAGTTATCAAATTCAATCACAAATTCCCATTTTTCCTTTCCAATGCGATTTCATTAATTATCATGTATGAATATATATGTTTATATATATATATATATATCCAAGTGTAGCAACAATTCCACATTTCATGCGTTTTTGACAATTTGCTATTTCATAACTACATATGTATATGCATTTAACAATAAATTCAAACAAGGTCTCCAAATCCTCATACATCAAGAAAGTTGCCATATTTGCAAACAACAATATGAAATTTCCACTCACTCCTTCATTTAACACAAAAAATTTCATAGATTCTCAACATTTTCCAAAACCCCCAATTTCTAAGTTTTTCACCCAAAACTAGATATTTCTTCATTTCTTAGTAAAACCTCACCAAATACATCATTCTTAAGTCAATGTGATTCAACTATTCGAGAAAATCTTTAAAAAGAAACAAAAGATGGATTCCTTTTACAAAACCACTAACTTCTAGAGCCAAAAACCAATTTTCAAAACAATTAAAGAGGAAATCTCGAAATTAACAAAAACTTGCAAAAATATATATATAACTCTAAGAAAAATCCCTACCTCAAGTTCCTAGAGAGAAAAGAGATGAAATCCCCAAAAATCAACAGTGACGAATCCCGATCTTCACCACACACAATGTAGCTCTCGAGGAGCTCTTCAACTTTGATAAAGGGACAGAGAAGTTTTGATCTTGTTTGGTGTAGGAAATGTAGAGAGAAGGAGGAGAAAAGGCTTTTTAGAGAGAGAGTGATATACAAACAATGACATACACACAGCCCGAGGAAAGAAGAAAAAGCTAATTTTTGGACTCAGCAAAGTCGCGCACGTGCGGCACCCATGCCCGCACGTGCGGAGCGTCCTCCCACACGTGCGGTAAACACCCCCGCACGTGCGGTGATCCTTCCCCGCACCTCCAGCCGTACCTGCATATAATATAGTGTGCAGCTTAGAAATCCCCTGATTTCCGCACGTACGGCCCCTCTCCCGCACGTGCAGCCCTGGTCCTCCAGTCCAAAATTTCCTCGGCTCAATCCCTGGTACTCCTGACCGAACCTGCACCCTCCGAAAAAAGTTGAAACTCAACACCGGAGTAAACAAGAACTAAAATTTAAAATTAAAAAAAAAAATCCACCGAACACAACAAACCCAATGAGAACGATGAGTGAAGGGACGCACGACGTAGCTGATCATCACAACCTCCCCACCATAAGAAATTTCATCCCCTAAATTTAATCAACTACTCAAAAAGAAAAGTTTCTAGCAATCACAACCATGCTGTTATAATTCAAACCGCAAAATAAATTCTTAACACACATTTACTATTCTCATCATGATTACCACACTAACATTGACCATCCAAGATAAACATATGCATGGAGCTTTTCAATAAATTTAGTAATAACTCACAACTACTTCATGCTTGAAACAGTAATGTACATAACAATTTCAATACATTTCCCCTCAACGCTAGGGAATAATACTAATGAAAAACAACTTAAGCATGTTCAAATAAATCTAGATATTTGGAGCAGACCTCCGCTTTCCATTCCCAAGTTGCTTCCTCAACCCCATGGTGTCTCCACAACACCTTTACCAACGGTATAGTTTTGCCACGTAGCACTTGCTCCCGGGTACCTAGTATTTGAACCGGTCACTCTTTGTAAGAGGCATCCTCATCTACCTTCAAATCAACCCATTCAAGCACATGAGAAAGGTCGGGCTCATACTTCCTAAGCATAGACCATGAAACACATTGTGAACCCCTGAAAGTTGTGGAGGTAAGGCTAACTGATACGCCACTTCCCCAATTCGCTCCAATATTTCGAAAGGCCCGATAAACCTCGGAGACAACTTATCACTCTTACCGAATCTCATCAAACCTCGTCTTGGTGAGATCTTAAGGAACACATGGTCACCAACTTTGAAAGATAAAGGTCATCTCGTCTTATCGGTATAACTTTTTTGTCGGCTTTAAGCCGTAGCTAACCTCTTTCGAATAAGGGCAACCTTCTCGGTTGTCTCTCTAACAATCTCTAGGCCCAACAACGGTGCATCACCTACCTCGGCCCAACA